TGCCTTAACTTCTTGGTAAGTAGGGCACTGCCGTTGACAATGTTCTTGTTTTAGACATTGTCATACATTGAGCTTTTACTCTGCCATAAACTGTTATTTGCTTTTAGTGTCCTTTTATGTGAACTGTGAGTGAACCATCATGTTAACGCTTATTGCAATATTCGAAAGCTTTTTTGAGTGCTGCAGTGCATTAATGTAAGCTTTAATTAAGCGTATTTCTGATCTTTAATAATGGATATATCGAACTATTTCGAGATCCCCTTCGAGTTCGATGTATTCGGGGATCGGCAGTACACTACTCTAATTCTACTCGAAATAGTTCGGCCAAGATCACTATTCACTTCGAATTTGCTTTCAACCTGAAATTCAATATTTGCACAAGCATAATATTTTTCAATCTGCCAATCTGGATAATTAGCTGGGTTCGTGTTTTTCTAGTAATTCTTTAACTCATCAAGTGACTGTAGCAAAATATATTCTGTAAAAAGTTGTGGCATTTGTTCGGAAACCAGTATATTTTATCTGTGCTGAGAAATGAATCAAGAGAAGCTTGGTAATTAATTAAGGTTGAATAATTCCTGAAATAGTAATCCTAGAGAAATATAGTCAAGAAAAAAATCCAGCAATGCTATTCAGCAATTTCATCTACGCTATGATAACTGCCCTGTTTAAATTTTTTCCAGCTTTTCTTTAGGGTGCACAAAACTGAGAAGTGTTGATTTGATGATTGATTTGTAGGGTTTAACGTCCTAACACCACCATATGATTATGAGAGACGCTATAGTGGAGGGCTCCGAGAATTTCGACCACCTGGGGTTCTTTAACGTGCACCCAAATCTGAGCACACGAGCCTACGACATTTCCGCCTCCATCGGAAATGCAGCCGCCGCAGCCAAGATTTGAACCCGCGACCTGCGGGTCAGCAGCCGAGTACCTTAGCCACTAGACCACCGCGGAGGGGCAACTCAGAAGTGTACTTGGCACAAGTTGCTTACATGTCCTGTATGACATTCGAATATCCGTGACACATGACCAAAAGTAAAGTACATTGAAGTAAACTTCCTTTTGTCGCCAAAAGGGACCATTTGCAAGAAAGAGCTGCGTCGTCGATACACAGCACCAGAGTACTGCTTTAAGTGCTTCTCTAGAGAAACGCTGCAGAGAGAAAAGGCGAGGTTTGTGAAAGCAGGAAGGTTGGAAATATTTTAAAAAACAGCGCTTGTACATCACATTCTGAGATAACGAAGCATAAAGACGTTTTTTTTTTTTTACTGTCCGATAGCTTACAATGCGCATATTTGTAATTTTCTTTCTTTTTTCCTGCTTTTAGCAGCAACCTAAATTCATCGGAACCTAAATTGTCGGTGCAACCTAAATTCATCTGGCAACTATGAACATTTGATGTTTTGTTGTCTTTTTTACTATGCTTTTTTACGGCTCTGTTAGTGACAGCGTACAACGTTTATTAGGATCCTGGTGGGGAGACATGTAGACAAATTTTTCAAAAAGAGCGCAGAGAAGTGCCTTTACATCACTTCAGCAAGCAAGTATAACAAAAGAAATGCAGTACGATGATTTCAGTTGAGAAGCAGTGCAGTTTTTATTTTCTCTTCAATGTTTTCTTTTATTCCTACCCGTATTTGTTTCCGATACGCATTATAGATTTTCATATTATTTATCGTTCTGCTCCCCCCTATCTAATGCCTATGTTGGGCCTGTAAGGTAAGTAAGTCGAAAAAAAAAAAGGGAAAAAAAGTGCACACAAGAGCGTGCCAGCAAAGGTCAGCGATAGCCCTGCAGCTGCTTAAGCACTTCTTAAAAGGACACTGAAATACTAAAAAAAATACGAGAATATGATGACTCGATACGTTACGGTGCATCGCCTAGACCTCGCCCCGTCACAATACGTATATTTTGTGCGGTAAATGCGAAAATCAAGTAGAAAATTTGCATTAACCAATGCATAAAACTTCATTTTGCCCAAACAAGCAATAGGCGCAGCGATCGCCATCAGGAGTCTCGCCGCCGCTGTGATTGGTCGAAGCTCCACGACGTCACTGTCGGGAAGGTGAGGACAGCTTACTGCACTCCCTGGCGGTCAATGCCGTGTTTATCTGTTGAAATCTGGTAGTTGCTCTAAGTATAGCGAACTGCAAAAGTCTGACCGAGTTCGCTGTACATTCGTACATGTTTGAGCCGGTCACCACATTAAAAGGGCGGCTTGTTAGACAACCGTATGCTGGAGAACGCACGAAAGAGGGGGGAGACGCACGAAAGAGAGGGGAGACACCCATGTCGTCTGCCACGGTGCACATTGGCTACCACCGCTACAAACGTCATTTCCGTGCAATGCTTGACGCCCTCGTCTGTCCTCGCCTGCCGTTGCCACAGCCGCAGCTCGTGGGGTGAAGAGCGGGTGATCGCGGTGCTGTGTTGTGTCAATGCCAGTGGTCTGAACGCTTTGGGGTTGTTTCCAAACTACTGAAGCCGTAAGTAAACAGTGTAGGGGGTAGCTGTATAGACAGGCAGCATCTGCACACTCGTGGCATTACGACGAGTACTAGACGGACAAGATTTACGCGTTGGAGCGAGACGTACGGCCTTGACTGCGGGCTCCCATAGCATGAAAGCTTGTTTTTCGCCACACGTGTTTAGCTCATGCCTAAGTTTTAATTTCCTATATTAGTATGTAGTTTTAATCTCCATTCTAACGGCCACATCTAACAGCCATAAGCTGTCGTTCATGTTTTCAACAGTTTGCAGTGCTTGCTTGTATGCTTGGGAGTTTTAAACAGATCGGTACTGACTTGTCCAAATTCATCGTTTTCTAATGTACATACCAAGCGTCCCAGTTCAGTTCGCTAATGCAGGTGAACTTTCTTCATTCTGTTTCAAAAAACACTGTTTACACTTGAGCACAGCTTCTGTGTTCGTCAATATATGTAAAGTTTATTAAAGTAGGTATGGAAGAGCTATATTGCAAAAATATCACATTAGCAGGCCCCAGAGTTCAGAAAAACTGCTGGGAGCCTATTGTGAATAAGCATGTTGCCTGTCTGAAGCCCTCCACATGAAGGCAGCAAGAGTGACTCACAGCGAAGGCTTAATGCGGAAGTGTAGAAATATTAAAGTGAGTTGGTTGCAACGAAAAATTAAAAAAAAGTGCTGAGAGAGGAGGGAGCTGATGATACTAGTCACAGGATTTTTCACTTTCTCTGTCTATTAGTACTTCCTTACTTATCATAAAACACCTGGTCCTCTCTGAAAGCTATAAAGTTAGATTTGTGTGCACTTGATTTTATACACCTTCCTGCATTGAGGCCTTGGAAGTAAGAGAAATAAAACATCTGGGATAAACAAACATACTCTTGCAAAAATTTATTGCAAAATAAAGTCACCCTTAACCCTCATTCAGTTTTCTTTTGCACCATCTGCCTGTGATGTATGTTTTTTTTCTATTCATCATTATAGTAAGCTGCTCAGCATCATCACTGTGATACCGTTGGGAGCCACGCACATGTTGTCAAATCTGGTTTCTGTTTTGCACTGCAACTACCCAATACCTCCTATGTTTCGCTTCAAATATTACCCACGGTCACTTGGAAGTTATACATTTGCAGTATTTTGGATGATGACTGCTGCACAAAGTCCGCAAAACTGCGGCAGGCATCATGAACTGACACTGCAATGTCAAGTAACTAGGCAGTTTATTTTAAAACAAGACATACTCGGTGATTGAACAACTGTTTCACGTTCTTGCGCCGCTCTAGCTGCAGGTAAAAGCTGACTGGGGCGTATTGTGAGCACTTGATAGTTTAATAAATTCGCAATTACTAATGATACGCATCAATCGTGTAGATAAGGCCGTCGGTAGCCTCGAAATCGCTCAAAACATGAATGGTTTTTTTTTTTGTGAAAGTTTGCTGTAGACATGTTGTAAGAGGTCGAGGATACTGAATTCGTAATAAATTAGTGAATTCAAAACTGCTTCAGTTTTTTTTTAAGTGTTTTTGTGGGATGCAGACTGCATATGGCATAGACGTGAGTGAGCGTATCTTGCTACACACTGGTAGCACACAGCAAGTGCCGCTACCAACACTAACATGCCAGTGTAAGTGACGTGATGCTATTATTTGTGGTCGAATCAACTGAAATTCTGGTTGAATCAACTAGTAAGAAAACATCCTAGACATTTTCGTGTCTCTTCTATAGTTTTGCAATGCGAATTGAAAACTGAATGTTTTTTAGTTGATATGCATTTATATGGCGTTCTTATTTCTCTTTCCTTCATTCGGAAAATGTAATTTAAATATTTACTGTATCTCTCTTATTTCAAAAGTATAGCATGTGTTTTCTCACACGTAGCAAGAATGTTTATTTTTCAAAAAGAAACGCGAGATGTACAACCAAGCGGTACCTGTTAGCACATATGCACGTATTGTAGTACATTTTTTTTTGTACAGCATTCACTGTCTTGCTGTATGCCTGGTAAGGGGGGTCTGAATCCCTATCAAGTGAACAGAGTTTCAGTTTTTGTTCAGGCCTCCTCCTTTTTTTTTGTGTTTGTACGGCAAGAAAAATGAAATTGAACTTAACTTGAGAGTATAGGTAGAGTACAAACTTTCATTTTTTTTAACAAATCTCGTTATACTGCTGAAAAGGAAAAAATTTTATCAGTGCAAAAAAGAAAAAAAAATACTCAAGGGAAAACAGTGTTGCAACGCATTTTCTTTTTTTTTTTTATAAATTATGCACAAAATATGCAAGAGTAGTAACGTCTCGCCTGAAAAGTAGATGCGGGATGTGCATTTACGAAAAGTATCATTGCCTGAAAAGGAGGAACTCATTCATCATGTGCCCTTGTGCCCGAACGCCTTTCCGGAAGATGTCCTCTTGTCTAAAGGAACTTAGGATGCCATTGTGCCTGGGTTGTTGACTAGCCACCCGAGAAACATTTTACAACAGAGCGAAATTGCCCTCAGGATATTGGTAATCTGCAGGTGTTCCACAGCCTGCTGAAGGCGCATGCCGTGGAGGCCCGGTCAGTGGTGCGGCAAGCACTGGAGATCCTGACGCCCGCCATGCCAGCCCGCATGGAAGATGGCAACACCATGCTCACCCATTGGACGAAAAAGATCATCGTTGAAGAGGGCCACACCCTGGCTCAGCTCGTGCACATGCTGCAGCTGCTGTACCGCCACTACCGTGTCTACTACCCCGTGCGCCACCACCTGGTGCAGCACATGGTGAGCTCGGTGCAGCGCCTTGGCTTCACGCCCAATGCCAACATCGAGCACAAGAAGCTGGCTGTCGATCTGGCCGAGGTGGTCATCCGCTGGGAGATCCAGCGCCATCGCGAGGAGCAGCAGCAACCGCCAGCTCCTCCTCCTCTTCAAACCTCCGAGGTAGGCCATCTCCCATCTCAAAACCAAATTTAGATGCTCAGAAGGCTTGCCCAACTTTTTTTCTCACATGTCGTATTCCCTACAAGTGGCGGCTATTTCGTCCCGACAGTCAAGTTGAGGGATCCCACTGATAGCAGAAGGAGTTTCAGCTATCTTAAAGCTTGACTGAAAATTTTTCTAGTTTTTACCATGCAGAATTAACAATGTATTACTGTACTTAGGTATGAGCTGGTGGCTGACCTATTGGGACTAAAAACATCCCTGATACTATTGTTGGCATAATTTTCTGTTATTTCTTTTTAATATTGTGTCTAACAAAAAAAAACGAGCCCTTAACATTCCACAGCTGTGAAGAAGGCATCGTTTACTTTCAGCCTTTGGCCTGTGGGGAAAGGTGTAACACAGGCTCAGGTAGTAAAGGAATCTCTTTAGAAAGACTGTCGTTTCGAGCCACCTGGCATTATACTGTTGTGCCTATGAACCACTTTTCAGGCAGGGATTAGGAAAGACGCAGGCTTGGGAAATTGATTGTCACGAAGGAAATTGTGAGTGCTCGTTCTGTGAAACCCTCAAAAAGGGAGGTTATATTCTTGAACTCTGATAACCCATATGCAGGTTGCAAAATGGCGAGTGTTGTATTCTAAATTTATTTTTTGTTGGTGCTTGGCTTAACAGTGTTGTTGTGGCCTTGTGAGGCCCATATAAGCTTCCTGCTTCAGAAGTATCAGTTGTAGTTTAGCACTATGTCCTTGGCCTCCCCTATTTTTCCATAAATATAAGTGAGGTCTTGATTGTGGAAATGCAATGTGCTGGTTGTCTCGGTAGTCTCTGTTTTTGTGATCAGTGGCAGCCGCTCAGTGGCTTTCTATGGAGTGATGCAATGCTAGTACAACAACACATATGGAATGTGGTTGAAACCGCGAGTCTTCTCAATGCAAGCTACTTGGGCACTGCCACAATCTGCTGTGTGCAGTTGTTTATTTATTTTGCAGTTGTTTATTCATATGCATGGTCTCAAGACAGTGCTGCAGAGGCGGTAGCAATTCTTAAGGATTAGGCCCAGAGAGGCTCACTACTAAGACTGTGCTCACCTGCAGGAGAGCCGGCGCCTGCTCGACCAAAGCGGCCGAGCTCGTCAGGTGGCCCCACGGCCAGATCGTCCCATTGAGAAGCACCACGCTGATGCCCTGGTCAACTTTCTCCTGCGCATGGCATGCCAGGTGAGGGGAATGAATTCAAAGGGCTGCAGTTCAGCCAACTACAGTCGCCGACCGATTTTTCGGACCTGGCGGGGACCGAAAAAAAGTACGAAAAATCGAACAGTCCGAAAAATTCGTTTTCGCCAAAAATCTGAAGTTTATTGCATCAGGCAGGTTTAAAAAAGTCCTTGATGCTACCTTGCCTCAAACTACGCTTGGAGGCAATTTGGTTTGCCCGTATTTGCGCCAAGGTGACATCGTCGCCGTAAACGCTCGACAAAATTGTCACCGCGTTGGCGATCTCCGCCGCCACCGGCTGCGGGCGGTCGTCGTTGTCATCCGAGCCGCTCTCCGGCTCCGAGACAACCTGGCGAAGAATTTCGTCGTCAGTGGCCTCCGCGCACGCTTCTTCACACCACCTGGCTCCCGCGATGGCACAGATGGCGGAGCCATGGCACCGAGAACACAAAATTCGATGCCGCAGATAGCTGCTGCGAAGCACACAACGTCTCGACGCTACGCGACACAACACGTGCAGAATGGCGACTGAAAAAAGCTGCAACGACAATAAAAGAATCCTTCTTTCGCCTCCTCCCCGTGCGATGTGATGACGATAGTGCTGACCGAAGACGAAAAAACGGCATCCATCACCGCGTCTTTTAAAAAGCAAACACGGCCTCCGAAACTTAAAATATGGCGGGCGCAGTCCAATCTCGGAGGCAGGAAAGGCATCTAAAGACCAAGCTTAGTCAAGCCGACGGAAAATCCAACATGGCGGCGTTCACGATGGCTTGGAACGTGGCACAAAACGAAAGATTTAGTCCGAAAAATCGAACTTTCAGGGGCAAATTCGCCCGAAAAATCGGTCGAAACAATGCATTAGCTCTATGGGATCCCTGACGGTGCATTTATGAAGTCCGGAATATCCAACAAGTCCGAATTTTTGGAGTCTGGAAAATCGGTCGGCGACTGTATTGCAATATCACTTAAATGCTTGAAAGCTTGTTGATCCGAATTCAATGAAACTTGGACTAGCTTTGATAAAGCGGTAAAGTAAATGTGATAAAAGGAGTGAGAGCACCTCTAAACCTTTATTTTAAAGCTACCATTAGAATTGGACTTTTTTGTTTCATTGAGAAAAATCCTAATGAAATTTTCAGGGTAGACTTGTTGCAAAAGCATTGAAACTAATATTGCAAAATTTCTTCAAGTTTCGTTCACTGGTTCTCAAGTTATAGCAGTATGTAAGAATAGTGCACATGGTTCTCTTATTTTAGCCCTGGAGAACTCTCAAAAAATGTGGGAACTGTGAAATAAACTATAATAATTCCCAGATATATACCTCAGGGGGAGACGGAGCTCTTTTTTTAATTTTCTTGCTGAAAAGTTTTAGGAAGCAATGGAATTGAGTGGTGATATTAGGATATCATCGATCAAGTTTTGATCAACTTATTCAACTTGTTCTGCTCAATTTGTTCTTGGTCTGGCAACCAGCCCCAGGCACTCCAATCCGCTTGCTTGCTTGTCCGTTGGCTTGTTGCTTGTCTGTCAGTTGTCAGTTTCCTACACATGCTACCACGTTGGTACCAAAGCAGCTAAAGTGACGATGAAGCAGACTTGCCATTTCGGGCTCTATGTCTAGCCAACGTGTGTGTCTTGATGCTCGTCACAACCGCAACTTTGTGTGTCCTTTGCAGTGTTCGTCTAAGGTAACAAAATTTCTAGAGAATACAGTGCCCTCATTATCCCTTGAAAAGCAAACATCACGACACAACATAGTCAGCAGCTTGTATAGCACACAGTAGCTTTTTAAAACAATGCTTTCGGCGATACTTTCACGAGATTAGCATCGGGCAGATCAGCATCTACGAATGAAATTAATTCTGGTCTTGCGCGCTCAGGCTGCTGATAGCTCGAAAGCGCTGATATCATTGCTAGGTTTTTTCTGGTTCACTTCAAAGGTAAAGCTGGCGGCGCTTCGGAATTAGTCACGGATGCTCTTGAGCCGCAATATTTTTTTGCCATTGTTCACACTTATGTTCACACTTATTGCAGTAATTGTATACAAAGACAAAAATCCCCTTATTGCCAAGCGCAAAATTTTTTTATTGCCGACAGCACAAAATAGTTTTTCTCTATTTCTACTCTATTTCAACCCTTGATCTGCGAAACTTGTTTTAAATTACTCGTCCGGCCATTCCAAGCTTATAAGACGAGGAATTGTACTGTCATGCCTTCGTTGAGCGCTTGAAAAAAAGCTATATTCACATGGTGCGCTAAGACGATAGTTATAGCGCGAGAACAAAACGACGGCACAGAGACAAGAAGGACACGAAAGGCACGAACGCTAACTTCCAACTGAGTTTATTGCACAGAGCGCGAAAATATATAGAGGAGACAGTAACCATGTGACAAAAACCATATGGCACAAAGAGCAGAACATGAGTAAGAGAAAAACAAAAACAAAAGCACAGAAAAATGGCAAAGAAAAATCTAAGAAAACGAAACAGAAAAGTAAAGATAATATAACTACTTGCGCGCACCGAAACTTTCAAGGAACCCTAGTTCCTTCTCGTGGCAAAAGCAACTGGGCTTGTTTATTCAGACCCATCTAAAGTGTCTAAAGATTGATGACCAATTTTTGATCAAAAACTCGCAGGCTCTGATAGAATTTTTCAAACGGTCAAATCAATCTTTTTGGTTTTTCAATTGACATAAAGGGCCTATACTACTCTCTGCCTCACGATGAGGTATTGGAATATATAAGGGATAACATAGAAATTTTCGAGAAATTGAACTTCCAATAAAAGCTGGCAACAGTGCGGGAGATTTTCTTGACCTGGTTTTGCTGTACCTTACCTCTACTTTTGTTCAATGGGATGATTGCATTTATCTGCAAAAAAAGGGCGTTTCAAACGGCTCATGCATAGCACCTCTACTCAGTCATCTTCTATTGGAAAAAATGGGCAAAAAACTGCTGGAAAAGTTAGAAGGCTCGCATGTCGTCAAAGTATTTGGATACGTGTATGATTTCTTGGTTCTCCTAAATTGTAATTCTTCTATGTTCCACTTGTTTGCGACTCAAACGATAGGTGTGTTCGAAGATTGTTTAAAGCCTCTTGTGTTGACACATGAAATGTCCGAGAATGACAAGTTACGCTCTTTGGATTTAAGACTGGTTTTTAGCCCACAGCAAATTTGTTGGTGTTATGAACCACGTGCGCAGAAACCTCTACTTCCTTTTTATTCCCCTCCCGGCAAGTTAGTTAAGCGAGGCATAGCAAGAACCTGTTTTGAGAATGTCCTAAATAAGTCGTGCGCCCACAATATCTCTGCGAGCTTCAAAGCTCAAGTTTCCTGGCTTAAGGCTTCGGGTTTCCCCGAGGCGTTTATCGCTTCCGTTGCTGAGACTATCCGGCGGACTAATAAGGCAGAGCAGAGGCAGCGACAGAATCTGAGCAACACGGATACAGAATGTGAAAGGATAGCCGTGATTCCATACAAACACCAGATATCACACAGGCTCCAGAAAATCGGAAAATGTGTTGTTCATGTCCTGTTCTCGGCACCATTCAAATTAATCAGCCTCACCAAACCTACAAACCCCCTGAAAACGCAGTCATCAACGGAATGCAGAGTTCAACATAAAAACAGGTATGCGGCATGCTGCCGGGAAGTTGTCTATAGGACACCCCTTTCATGCGGTGCTTGTTATGTCGGGAATGACCGGAAGGTGTCTGAACGATCGGCTGAGAGAACAAGCTAACAGTATTACAAATGTTAAAGATGGTTTTCTTGCTCAGCACTGCACTGAGGGCAATTGTGTGCCCCTTTTCAAGGACACAGCGACGCTGTACAAGCGCAGAGATGAGCGCTCCCGACTCATTGTCGAGGACACGCAGATGGCTCGCGAACAAGTGCCTTGTATTAGCAAGCCCTCCGTGGCTCTGTCCGAGAAGGAACTAAGGTTCCTCGAAGGTTTGGGTGCGCGCAAGTAGTTATAATATCTTTACTTTTCTGTTTCGTTTTCTTAAATTTTTCTTTGCCGTTTTTTGTGCTTTTGTTTTTTGTTTTTGTTTTTCTCTTACTCATGCTCTGTTTTTTGTGCCATATGGTTTTTGTCACATGGTTACTGTCTCCTCTATATATTTTTGCACTCTGTGCAATAAACTCAGTTGGAAGTTGGCGCTCGTGTCTTTCGTGTCCTTCTTGTCCCTGTGTCGTCGTTTTGTTCTCGCGCTATATCGTCATGCCATACCAACTAGCCCAAGCTGCCACACTTCTAAGGTGCACTAAGGTTTCTTAACGCATCTAGGGCGGTTATTCGGGGCTGAGTACCTGCCGTACCTAATTGCATCGGCGTGTGAGGGACTTCTGCGCATGGTGAGAAGCAGTGATAAACGTGCATGTGTTTCTGCAGAATGCAATAAAGGAAACAAACGCTTGGCCGTCATTCCTTATATTCATAAACTAGTGCATGGACTAAAAATTGTAGGGAACCGGTTTGGTGTGCACATTTTTTCTGCACCCAATAAATTGGGCCGTATATGTGCCATGGTACATAAGAGGACGCAGGGCGCGTATAAAGGCAGAGGATGATGTTATGGGGAATAAAGTATACACTGGTGAGCGAATGCGTACTGGCGAATATACTGGCGAGCTAATGCGTACGACGCTGCTGCAGTCCGAGCACGTTCCCGTTCAGCACTTCGTCGTCGTCATCCTCAGGCATCTACTTAGCCCGTGACATTACCCGCCGGCGGCAGAAGCAGCGTCCCGGTGCGATCAATTCTCGAGGCGTACTATATCGGTCGGGACTAAAGCTGGTACTGACGTGGTATGGAGTGGAGCTATCTCATAGGTCACGCTGGTGACCTTGCGTATGACGCGGTAGGGGCCAACGTAACGGGACATTAGTTTTTCGCTGAGACCAACACGACAGTGATGGTAACCACAGCAAGACGAGTGACCCCGGAGAGTACTGTACGTCGCGGTGCCGGTGATCGTAAGCACTCTTTTGG